ATTTCAAATAATGGTGGACGAGCGGGTTTGATGTCGTCGAGTAGAACTACATTTTTATCAAGACTCGTTGCTCCGATCGACTTTCCACACGAGTACTTTTATTCATAAAATTGTCCAAGTAACCTTATTTTGTTGAAAAATATTGAAAAATATCTATTTTTGTCTTATAAAATGCTGCACAAAGGTTATTTGGCACTTTGAACTTGATTAATAAAACTGCATACGACTCCAAAATTATGAATAACGAAATGTAGTTTAGCAAAATATTAAAAATTGAATATTGTCATTCGTCAGGTTGTATAGAAAAAAATATATTTTTTCATGAAATTTGAATAATTCAATATAGTTGCCTTCGAGGGCAATACAACTATTATAGCGGTCACACAATTTTTATGCAGCATTTTATACTACGATATGGTTTCAGCCCCAAAATAGGCCTCCAATTCATCGCTTACCTCTACATCAACGCTTTTTTTTCAAAAAGTCACTGGGGGCCAGGTCTGGAGAATACGGTGGATGTGGAAGCAATTCAAAGTCCAATTCATGCAATGTTGCCATCGTTTTCATTGACTGGTGACCAGGTCTTGATGAAACGGCACTTTCTTTTTCTTCAGATTGGACCGTTTTTTCGCAATTTCGTCCTTCAAATGCTCCAATAACGCTATATAAAAATAATAATGATGATAGTAATAATATAAGTGCTTTATTGTCATTGAGAATAAGTAAAAATTGTCAGTGAGAATAAAATATTAAATGCGAATATAAAAACACTTACAAAAAAGTAAAGTTAGAACATAAACTATAGTTCAACGTCGAAATTTCGTATCAAAAACGTTGTGTACAGATTTGTTCAAAAATATTATCAACACTTATATAATAAACATATATACTTATATATGATATTACATAAATAAATACACTCATTGCACCAAACAATCAAACATTTATATCCAAACAAGAATATAAACATAAAATCTTATACAACCCAAATTCAAATATGCACATTTTGTCACGTGAATTTATTATTATTATACAACGGAATACGGTCTATCCGTCTATCTACACATTTTGTTGTTCAAATTTGTCTGTCTTGTATCTGAAGGCAAGTGATTGAAAATCTTGACTCCATTGTACTCGTAATAAATAGAATTCCTGACCAAATTTGTTAAAGGAATTGTCAATTCCAACACGGTGGAATGGGTGCTATAATAAGAATGGCATGAAGCCTCAAATAGGGACATATTTTGGTACATGAGGCAAACCGATTCCAAAATGAACAAAGCAGTCACTCTTAAAATCTTTTGCTCAGAGAATTTGTTTCTGCATGAATCACGAGGTTTAATCTTACACATATACCATTTCTGCAGTACTAATACAGACAGAAGTGCTGATGAATTGCATACTCCCCAAAACGTAGGTGGGATTCAACGAGAGCGTAATACACCGTTCTGGCAGTTTTGATTCCCAAATTCATTGAAGTAACTGTCACTGCATAGCATCCAGAACAAATTCTACTTTAAACTTGTTTGATATGTTCAATAAATTTGAGCTTATTGAGTCTCGTTCTTGATCACTAAGTTATCACCAAATGACAGGTCATCAAGAGCACATCTGAATGATAAAATGTATGAATTGAAGAGGTTATATTTTTAGGAGTTATTATCAAGATGGAGTAGTAGAAAGCCAAAAACTTTCATTTCGATAAAATGTATGTTTCGGTGATAATGAAGGATAGCAAATTAGCATCACACCACTTTTTGATTTTTTTCATATCAGTAGATATTGCATTGTGTAAATCATCTGAGTTTTTGTTGTTTCACAATATCGTTGTGTTATCAGCGAAAAGAGTGAAATTTACAGAAATGCTCAAATTTGCAATGTCATTGACATAATAAGAATAAGATGGCTCCTAACACTGATCGTTGTGGAACACCACACAAAATTTCCTTTTTTGTTCAGAAAGTCCTGTTGTTCCTACCATTTAATTCCTTCCTGGAAGGTAAGATCCAAGCCATTTGAGCGTCATTTCTCTACAGCCGTATTGATGAATTTTTCTTAACAAGATCTGTGTATAGTTTTTCTTCTCTCAAGATAGTCAAGAAATATTACACCAAACATTCCAGAATATTGATAACAGTAAGAAAGTTTTTGGCTTTCTACTACTCCATCTTGATACAAAAAATGTGGGAATTTTCCAAAGGTGAATTGAATGTCATTACATGACATAAGTATATCAAATTTATTCCGTGACATTAAAAATCGTAATTCATGAATGAATTGTGTGTAGTTTCTATAATGTTATCCAATTTGGTACTGAAGAGCCCTAAGGCAAGAGTCTTATGGCGAGACATCGATGTCTACCAGTGAGGATGATAGTGTTCCATGTAAGTGCAATTTGTTACCGTAATCTGGGGTGAAGTCGGACAGTAGGGGCTAAGGCGGACAGAAGCACGTTTTTCTATAATTTTTTTCAAGGAAATCTCGCTGGTGTGCCAAATCGCGCTGGACCTGTCTAGATACGTTAGTAGACATCAAAACACTTTGGTGGATGGTCGTGGCGACTGTAATTTCCTCCGGTCGCGTACAAATCGGCTTCTATTTCGTATTGCGTTTTGTGTGGTTTTTTTTAACTAGTGAAAACAAACTATTGCCCACAAGTTAGATTTACATGTACAACATTTGTTTTACCACTAAAATGTTAACTAATTTATTGATAATATTTGGTGATAAAATGATAATGATACCATCTTTCGTTTTTTGAAAAATAATTGAAATATAAAATATTGTCCACAGGTAGGGTAAAGGCGGACACCATGGTGAGGAATTACAAAAAAAAGATAGGCCTAAATTTCATGAATTATGATGAAACAAATTTACAGAGAGCACTAGACGAGTGAAAAAAGGCAAGAAAAGTTTGAGACAAGCATCAGAATATTATAAAATTCCTAAATCTGCACTCCATGACAAAATTAAGAAAAAAAAAGAAGCAAAACATGGCGGTCAAACTGTATTTTCGGCAGAAGGAGAAATGTTGTTAGTAGGAGGCATAATCAAATTTGGTGAGTGGGGCTTTCCATTGACTCGCAGAGATATAAGATGCTCAGTAAAAAATTACCTTGATAGAAGAGGAAAGAAAATAAAAACTTTTAAAGACAATTTACCTGGAGTTGAATGTTTCCATAATTTTTTTAAAAGACATAACATATTAACCGAACGATTAGCTCAAAACATTAAAAGATGCAGGGCTAATATTACCAAAGACACTATAAGAGAGTTTTTTGGAAATTTAGAATCGACATTGGGAAATGTTGAGCCTACCCATATAGTGAACAATGACGAGACGAATCTCACGGACGACCCAGGGAGGCAAAAAGTTCTATGCCGCCGTGGGTCTAAGAGGGTAGAAGTTATACAGGATTCCAGCAAATCAAGCACCTCAATTATGATGGCAATTACTGCATCCGGACATCTACTGCCCCCATATGTGATATACAAAGCTGTCCACTTATATTCAACCTGAATAGAAGGTCAACCACCGAACCAATCGAACTAAAAGCGGTTGGTTTGATGGCCCAACCTTTGAAAATTGGTTTGACAAAATTCTCCTTCCTTATTTCAAAAATCTTCCCGGAAAGAAGATGCTCATTTGAGACAACCTCGCTAGCCATGTTTCAATGCATGATTTGGAATGCTGCGAACAATATAACATCGAATTTGTGTTGCTTCCGCCTAACGCCACCCATCTTCTGCAACCCTTTTTTCGCCCCTATGAAAAAAGCATGGCGTGCCATATTGCTACAATGGAAAATAAAGAATAGTGGAACTATCCTGAAGTCGGAGTTTCCACGGCTTCTTGATGAAGCTGTCACCTCACAAACCACAAGAGGGGACTAAATCATCTGTCGGTAACAAATAAGACAGATGGGTATCCGCGGCTAAGCTAAACAGTGGAGACGGGAGTGGGTTAAACAACTTAGCAAATTTCAAATAGATCTTAATGGGCGCCAGGTAAATTTAATCCTCCAGATACCCTAAGTAACTCACAATATCAATAACTTACCAATTAATATTGGAAATAAAAGATAAAAATCCCCAATATGATTTATTCAGTAATCCTAACTTACATGGATTAACCAACAACGCTTCTAAGACAACAATGCAATATTCACACTACTACGCGATGTTCAAATGTCCATACAAGAGCGCGGTGTATCTAACCACGAATTCAATCAACCATAAATTACGGTAGTAACGACGCTCAAAAAAACTACAATACGTCGAGTAAAACTACCACGAAAATTGAGTAGGTGAAATCGTAAATACTAGTATCGGATGGTAAGACAAACTCGTTTGCGTCGCGTGAGCTCAGGCGTAGGCGCATCGGTGTCAATCAGCAATCGTGAAAGGAAGAATATACCTCAATTTCCGTTTCACAAATATCTATGTCAATCAGGTATCAATAACAAACTCTTAATCAATAAACGATAAACAAACACTATATCAACAGGTATCAATAAACATAAGGGCAACAATTATTCAAATATCTCAGTATATCACAAATATTCAATTAAATCAATTATAACTTGCGTGCTCCTTTTGGGCCACCCGGTATATGGTGTTAGGCTACCCTGTAGTATGGCGGAGATGGATCACCCTGTAGCACCGGAGATGGATCACCCTGTAGCACCACCAAGATAGATCACCCTGTAGGGCACGACAAGCTGGACCAGTAATGGATCACCAAATAAGATCCAGAAAGAAAATAAAGGAAAACAGGAACCCTTGACGAAGACAAAAACAAGCAGGAAGAAAAGCAGGAAGAAAAACCCTACGGAAGAAAATTCTCAATCAGAATCAGATGAAACAAGGTGAGATTCAACCCCCATTCAATAGGACTATTTGACTAATCAATACCCCTGGTATATTTTCATCAAGCAAAGTAGCAAGATAACAAGAGTATATTTTTGGGTGCCCTGTATAACCATATGATCCGTAAAAATCAAGAAAATTGAATGAGTGTTGAAACCTCTCTTCAATACTAATATTCCGTTGAGATATAACGATGGAACCAGAAATTACTAAAATCATTTAAAACACATTTAATGGTAAAATTCTTACCCTGGCCAAGGGGTTTTCTATACGATTCTTCGTGTGCGGTGTTCTGCACGGAAGTCCTGCTGGGACTTGATGAGTGACTGAGGGCCTTCTGTTTCTTATGAATCTAGAGACGAGAAACGAAGGTTGTAGAATTGAAGAAGTGATATCATAGCTAAGATCACATGAGAGATGCGACAGTGATTCAGACATACCTAATTTCGGAAATCCTTCCACCTGGCACGAGTTCGGTATCCACCACAAATCCTCAAAAGAGCTTAAGTTTCCGACTGCAAATATCCACACCAAAATGACCAATCAGTCTTCCACTATACAATCCTGACTTGTAGAAATAATCCCCGTGAAGGATGGCACAAATACAACCAAATATATCCTACAATCAGTCTGATGATACCCTTTGAACTCCGAACCAAGCTCACCGAAGGCTAACTTCCAAATACTAAGAGAATGCCACATCTGACAGCTAACCAGTTGTTGCCACAGTGCATCCAATCTACACTACAAGCACCAAGGGGGCGCTGTGCACAACATCATAAATCTAACAATTCCTCCACAGCCACTTGATACATCATCAACAAGTCCATGACCCATCAAAACTCCTTCTCAAAGCAATGCAACCCTAAAACAACCCTTGACAACTTGAGTAACCGATCAATCCCTCACCCGTGAACAACTGTAGAACTAGTTCGGTGTAAGTCGACGGAACGACACTACGAAAGTTCGGCAGATGTCAACCAACAGCTGTCTCTTAACCTTGTTTACGAATATTTACAAAATATATTGTTCCAACCTATTTTCAACTATTTACCAATCCTTATTCATGCGATGGAATAGAAACATATAAGGTAAGTCGCCATAACCTTCCCTTTCAGTACAAATATTAGAGCATTCATATTATGCAGAATATTTACCGAAAATATCAAACAGTATTCAGAAACCCAGAGGTAACTAATATTGTTTTTCAGGCGATATGGCTCTAATATGTCAGTAAACCTTCTGGAAGTGATGAATAACAATCTATGCAAGAAATATTCTCGGAAAGGTATAGGGAATACGGCAGACAACGGCTGAAAAAAAATGATAGGTGAAGAAAACTGAGAAACAAACAATAACAACTATTTCAACCTAGCGAGGAATTTCGGATCTCCAACGTCGATTGGCAATAGGAGAATGCGTAAGTACTGGTCAAAGCAGTTAGTCAGGGAGCATACATTTATTCTTATACATTTTAGGTATGGTTTTCTATGGAACGGAAGATTCCCATTACTATGATGTTAAATGAATAAAATGAACTTGTAACTGAATTACATTGTTAATATCCTCTGAATAAAGATCTTAAAAGGAAAGGTAGTGTTTTTGAAAGGTCACATAAGAGCAGTTTGATCTAGGGCTAAATTGAAACGTAACAACTTCTTTGAAAATGTAGGTTGGGCACACTGACAAACCAGATGTGTCCCTAGCTGTGACGAAAAGTTCGTCATCAATAAATGACAATTCTGTCGATTCCATAGTAAATAAACGAACAATATCTACAATATTTACAAGTAAATTTGGACCGTTACAAAGCTATTAAGAAGATTGAAAAGTTAGAAAACAATTTAAGATCCGGGTTCAGAGCTTGCGGGATTGTCCCATTTAATAGTGACGTTGTGTTGAAAAAAATACCAGATGTGGATGAAGGCGAAGAAGCGGCTCGAACAGAAAGTGCGAACCACTGGACCGCAACTTTACAAGAATTTTCAAAAGAGACAAGGTCAGTTATAACTGAATAAACACGACCAAAGCGAGGAAAGAAATTAAAAGTATTGCCCAGCAAAGGAATTATGAAAGAAGATCTGGAACCTTCAACTAGCCGTCCTCTTGAGGATGAAAATAGTGACGTTGAAAGCAGTAGTGATAAAGGAAACAAGACTGATTCAGATGATAACGATCTACAGCTTGAGGATGTGACTGAAGAATCTCAACAAGATAATTTTGAGACAGGTGACTGTGATACTAATGATACTATACAAACGGGTACTTTTTTATTAGTTAAATTTCCATGCCCAAACAAGACGCGATAGGTTCCAATTCCTCATTTTGAAAAAATATGAAAATATTCGAATTGAATAATTCAACAACAGTTCAGTACCTAGTAGTATAAGGTTTATATTTTGTTTTTGTTTTTTGTTATATGTAGGTAGTTTCATTTTCCTAGAAGGCAGTCCAATTCGAATTGAATAAGTTCAGAATAAGTATGAGGTTTATCTTTTGTTTTTAATTGTGTTATTTTCCTAAAATAGATTAGTTTCTCATTTAAAAATGCGTTTTTTTTTTCTTGTGGATTGCTATAAATTATTATTTTTCACTTTTTGTGTCCGCCTACGCCCCATTTCAGGGGTAAAGATGACTTCTGATGCAAAATAAATAGGTGTCCATGTTCACCACACACGTGAGGGCGAAGGCGGACAGCATTTATCCAAAAAAAGTAGTGAGGGTAATATTTTTTTGCATATATTTACATCATATCATATTCTGGAGATTCAGGGCTTCCTTCATTATTTTTTTCAAACTTTTTGCTCTAAAGGGGTTCGAGTTATTGGCAAAAAAGATCAAAAGTTGTCCGACTTCACCCCAGATTACGGTATCATTCATTTAAAGTAGAATTACTGTGAATGATATCTGAATTTTATTCCATAACGAATGTTTGGAATACGAACTGAGTAGAGAAAAGTATCTTCTGTATAATTCAGTGTTCATGTAAAAGTATTTGTTTCGAAAGAATTTTTTTTTTCTTGTGATTCAATGTTTATATGAAAGTAGCTATTTCAGGAGGGCTTTCTTCCAGTTTGTATCTGGAAGTTGCTTCTGTGCATGCTCTACACCAGCGGTCCGCAACCTTTTTGATATTGCGACCCCAAAATTAAAAAAAGAGTTATGAGCGACCCCAGAAAAAAAAATCATTAAATTAACAAGTGCAAAGTTTGATTCAGGTAACGAAATCAAGGTAAACTTCAATTATCCTCCTTGTTGTACTTGGCTGTTTTTATTTCGTAAATTATGTTGAAGAGTTTATTTTTTTTGGAAAGTAATATTAGAGCAAACTAGAAAATATGCATTCAACATAATATTTATGATGGCATTAAATGAGACAAGCAATTATTTTAACATTTTATTAAAAAAAAATAGGTACATATACGTGAGTTTACAAACTAATGTGAACCTTGTGGTAGCACACTTGCAGTCAATATATTAATTCTTGGTGAATATTATCAGAAAGAGACACCCTCAAATCAGGTTCTACGTTGAGTTTGGAGCGATATTTTTTTTTATAGCAGTCAATGTGGAGAAATCTGTCTCGCACAGGTATGTAGATGCGAATGGCAGCAATTTCAGCAGAAATGTTTTGTATAACAGTGGATATTCCTTTTCCATCATTCCATCGGCAATAAATCGATCAGCTGCTCCTTTTCTTTTAAGTTCATCTTCACACTGTTAAGATCATAAGTGAATGGATTGATTATCCATTGGTCGCCGTGTGACGTATCTGGGAATCGTATTACCAAGTCTTGCCTAAAGTTTGTAAGATGCATGATGATTTTGGTTTTAATTTCTTCTTCGAGCTTAATATTGTTTTCTTCAGAAAATTTCTCCAAACATGGAAACATCTCGTAGTTTTCAGCACTGATTTCGTCTATCCACAAACTTAATTTCCTACAAAAAGCTTTTATTTTGTTAGCCAAAATGGATACATTTGTACTCTTCCCTTGCAACGATTGATTTAAATCATTAAGTTTTTCAAAAATGTCCGAAAGATAGCCAACTGTTGCCAGCCAATTTTCATTCAAGAAATATTCCGCTTGCTTTGGTTCCCGTTCAAATAGAAATATTCTGATTTCATCTTTGAGATCAAATACACGCTGGAGTATTTTTCCTCGCGATAACCACCTGACCTCCGTATGTAACAGTAGATTTTCGTATTCTGATCCCATTTCGCGACACATTATTTTGAAAAGGCGACTGTTTAATGCGCGAACTTTAATAAGTACAGGACCTTGTTGACTTTTTTGACGACACCATAAATATCTTTCGCGACCCCACATGGGGTCGCGACCCCAGGGTTGCGGACCGCTGCTCTACACACCCATGTATAGATTTACTTATTTCCATGAATACTTCCTTCCTTCATTTGGAAGATTCCCACTTTTGTATCAAGATGGAGTAGTAGAAAGTCAAAAACCTTTTTTTCCAAAAGTTAATTACTCCCAAAAATATAACCCCTTCAATTCAAATTAATAACAGCTTTTTTCAAATTATTCCAAGTGATTATATCAATGAGAATTATGAATTCGTTTGCAACACATGGTTTGTTCAATGATTTCTAGAATGGTTTTCTCAAAGGAAAAAGTACCGGAACGGTTTGTGGATGAAATTCAACATTTAATTGAACAAAACTTTTTATGCCTGTGGTGTTTTCCTGGACTTCAGTGAAGCGTTCGACTGTGTTAACCATCACATTTCACTTCGAAAGCTTTTCAATTATGGAATCAGAAAAAAATCCTTTAATCTCTCGAAATCGTATTTGAGTAACAGGAAGCACAAAGTACATATTAGGCAACAAAATAATGGCTTCACTGAAATAAAAAAAGGTGTACCACAGGGAAGTGTGCTTGGGTGAAAGTGAGAGAGAGAGAGAGAGAGAGAGAAATGAGGGAAAGAAACATTTCTCAAGTTTCTTCCTAGATTTGACAAGCTGTACTATTTCGGAGTATTTTCAGCTTAGTAGTGAAAGACTAGATATTTCAACGAGTACAAAAATGGAATTTATATAGATGCTAAACTGAATTATGAGGTACCTTTTGACTAGCAAATAAACTAGCAAATACGTGTTATGCAATTAGAGTATTGAAAAGTCACTAGAAAATCTATGAACTGAAAACGACATATTATGGAACTGTTTATCCTCTGCTGAAATAAAGTATATTAGTATGACACTGTGCGACATTGAGCCATATTCATTACAAAAAAATCATAGACAAACCATCTGTTTCAGTTTGTATTAAATTCGAACTTCCTAGTAACTTCGATATTACATTTGACCCATTAATATATATCTGTGATATTCTCTTATTTTTTCCGCTCATTTTCCTATACTCATTATATTAACCCATACCACGTGATTTTATTTATATCAATATCAAGAGACATTGGAGTTGTTAATGTAATCATTTTTCTGATTTGAGTTTTATCAATTGTTGAAATTGGAAGCTTCAATAAATCTATTTTTTTTGAGCACTACAGGAAAATCTTTAGGGTGCTCTTAGAGCGGTACCTATGAATCGCAGGTGATCAAATTCATTTGGAAAAACGTTCTTAGGAAGTTTATTCCACATAAACTCCGTTCTCCAAATGGAAGAGCTCCTAAAAACTGAAGTTCAAGGTGTACTGACTTGAACCTCAAAACGATGAGCAGCCACAGTCCGTCATGTATTTCTGGTATGTACCGCTCTTGATGGAATCAAGTGTGCTGAGTCACTTGAATACTTCTTGTGAAAATATCTATAAAAGAGAGGCAAATCTCCAACCTTTTTTCCAGACTATCAAGGTTGCAAGTGATGTTCGCGTCATCAGGCTGACGGCTCTTTTCTGGATGGAATCCGGCAGCTTCAGCTTGGGGGCGAAGCTCGATACATGAAAACAATACTCCAAAGAAGGTCTGACCTGAGCTTTATATAGCATCAAACGTTTCAAGAGTTGCTGAGGTGTGTAAAGTTTTCTGGTTCGAAACAGTGTACCAAGCTTTCGAGAAGCAGCCTTTGCAATTCCAGCGACATGATTGTGCCAAGACATATTGGTGTCCATTTTAACCCCCAACAAACTTATCCTAGCACAAAGCGGAATTATATCCGGTTCGGAGACATTTATCTTTTCAAAAAAAGCGATGCCTGAATTTTTGTAGCATTAAATTGAACCTTTCACTTTCACCCCAATTCGATA